GAGAGAAAGATTAACTTACCTGTCTCCTAGCCATACAAAACTTTGGGAGTTGAGTCGGCACATTTCCAGAGAAGATAAAATTAACCCATTGTTTCTTCAGAGGCGCGGATGAAGGAACTAAAAAATACTTGTGTTTATTTGTACATCCGAACACTAAGCAACTGCCATGCTTCGCTCGTTTTGCAAGCCATGATATTTCTCGCGGAAAAACTCAAATCTTAGCCTGACTTCGTCATACTCATATTCAAGAAAGAATATGAGTCAGAAACTCCTCCATTGGGCTTTGATTATGAGGCGTGTCGTAACCGAACCAGGGCAAAAAAATGGATAGTCGGTAGACCTACCAACCAATCAGAGCAACGCATAAGTCAACTCCTTTGCATAGCGCAGTTTTCAAATACAGAACGTAGCCTACTTTATTTATTTTAGAAGTTAAATAATGAGTGTGCTACTTATTTTACTTACTTCTCCACGAGTGCCACCAAAGGAGAACCACAACGACCACAGGCTTTTCATTACATCCCATCTTCTTAACGACCGTCAGAGCCAGCTGATAAGTTACACTTTTCCCGAATCATGTAGGAAGGACGCCAAAAATATCTTTCCGATCGACAAATGCCTTGATTGCAGTTCTCTGTTTGTCTATTAAAATGAATGCGCTGCCGATTATTATTTTTTTTTTTATTTATTTATTTATTTTTTAAACAAAAGACGCGACAGCGGAATCTATACATCTCAATTTTCCAGCTGCAGTCGGCAGTCATCTTTGACAAGCGCGCTTTGATGACGTGAGGATTACGTTACTGAAGACCACCTGTCAATCATCGTATAACGCCCGCCCTGGCAATTTGATTGGCCCGATGATTTCTGAACCAATCATAATTACTCCTCAATGGATCGAGTCCAGACCGAACTTCCCGTCCAAAAAATGTTGTGGGCGGAGTTCGGTCTGGCATCCAGGCTACTCAAATCTCAAAGCTAGGAAAAAAAAACCCGCGCCTGCGCGTGTTCGTACGTCTCTGGGCAGGCAAAGCAGAGAAAGGGGAGTAACCTTTCCACTCTATGACGTTTATAGGGGGAGATTCTAGATCAGCGCATCTGAGATGCAGACGGATGCAGAGAAGAGAAAAATAGTCAAAGCTCGGTTTACACCGATTGAAAATTCTAGACACGAGGGGACCAAATACAGTCTAGGGCAACTCATATTAATGTTAAAAAACTTTTAAATGTCAGGGGACCTTTCATGTCAGGGGACCTTTAAAATGATGAAGTCTAAGCCAGATTGTGGCCCAACACTGCTGCCTCTTGTTTTAAAGTCGGAACTGCTTCATGTTTTAGTAACAGTTTCTTGTTGAATCCGGTGTTGAACTAGTGGAGATTAAGGAAGCTGTCTTCCGTAAAATGGGCAGCACAGAGAGCTAGATTACGATCGTCATTTTCAGGAACATAATCAAACATAAATTGTATCCATTGTTGAGGAAGTATAGCGTCCATGGGAAGCCCGAACACAGAAGACCTGACAGCTGTGTGAACAACACACTCGACGAGTTGACATACCTCAGAAATATGCGCATGCCATTTTCTCCATATTCTGAGAGAGGGGTTGATGCAAATGTGTGGGTTAGTTGACGTACCATAACTCAGCTGTAGTCCCAATGGACTATGTGCACGTTAGCATATGCTACTTCCGGCTGCGAAACCGATAGGGGGTGTCTAGTTTCCGGTAGCCTGATGGACGATGTATATTTCTCCAGATGTCTTGAACATTTGCCGAATATTACAGTCGATTATGTACATCGACTGGCTAATGATTTTTTTCCAGCTCCCCAGAGCAAGAAAGAATGGGTTTAAATATTACATCTCTCAGTATTTGCATAATTTTGAAGGGAACGTTAAGTCACAACAACATCAGACTGATCTCATGAAATTGCGTATGACACTTATCACGTATTTTTGGCATGCTATCAGCATAATCTCTTTTCAGTGTGTTTATTAATGCCATTGTCTTAACGTTATTACTGTATATATATATTCATATATATATATATTGCATATGACGTACCTCAACCCCGTCCCTAAACCTACCCGTCACTCCTACCATCCTAGGAAGAAATCGCTCCCCAGATGTAGATCTACATTTTGTTTTTTTTCGCTCGGACATTTGACAGCGTACATACGGTACATACACGTGGAATCACTCGGACATTAATGTTGCCATGCTACGTGCTCAAGCTATGCGATTTGGTAACTGTTATCGCTCTATACATTATAAAAGTCGAAATCATGCGTTAGAAAGTGCATTTTCCAGAACAGCTTGTGTTAGCCATTGTTTTGTTTATGATGTTCGGAGGCTATATGTTGTTGACAACCACTAATGTCATTATAGGCCTATAGATAAGTGTTGACAACCACTATACATATGTCATACAGGGAGTAAAGGTATCCGACGTTGGTTCGTTCGTTATCAAGTTAGGCTGTTTTCACACATATTTCTAAACAGGTCTCCCTTGCAAAATAGGTTCTAACCCCAGGGGCTTCTCCTGGTTAAAGGGTATAATATAATAAATAATTAGTAGCCTAAAAACTTCCTTCTAGTTGTCATGGATACGCAACGCTCCACTCGGTAAAGCGACTGCTTGGGTGCGGTGACAAAAAGCAGATTTAAATATCGTTTACTTTTCACAATGCAACAGCGCCTGGCTCCACCCAAATATGTGTAAAAACTGTTGAATGACTTGACAATGAACAAACGAACATAGTTTTAGACAAATATATTTAGATAGCCTAGCTAAGCTTTAGATAGCCGGTCCACTGATGTAAACAACGGCAACCGGAACCGAAGTACCCAACATCTACCCTCAAGCCGGAAGTTAGCATTTTTCTCGTGCACAGAGTCAATCGAGTCGTTTTTGTAGGCAATATACTTCCTGATTTTTAAAAGACGATATCTCTGCTTACACTGAACTTTCAGCGCTGCAACTTTGCAGATACTGTTCATGCACCAACAGCAACATTACACACTATTTAAAATCAAAAAAGTGAAATTGCAGTCAACCCCCCTTTTAATGTTAGTTAATAGAAATACAGTCGTTCTGTGCGAGTTCACAGTGCATTAATTGTTAACAAACACAACTTTCCATTTTTTAATAATTTATTAGTTAATGTTTAAATGAACATTAATTTAGATTAATAAATGCTGTAGAAGTATTCTTCATTCTTATTTCATGTTAACTTAAATAGTTAAATAATATTAATTAATGACACCTTATTGTGAATTGTTACCAATGTTTTATATCTGCATCCATTTTTCATGAGGTAAATAGTATAATATCAGATAAGGCTGACTCATTTTGAGTGATGGTGGCATCTGTGGTTAGAAAGGTAGCAAATTTTATTAATATGAAAATGTTTATGAATTTCTTTGTGCTGGCTGCTGCTGTTTCAAGAAAAAATGGTTGTCTTTATTTATATTACTCTCAAAAGCCTTTGAGCAGTTCAAGCCACATGTTTTTCGTGCCACTTCAATAAAAAGAAATTTTAATATAAGCACATATGCAATTTTATTTTATACGATTTGCTTAGTATAAATTGAAATAGAACATTTTACATGTATTTACGTTTTTGATTATTTTATTATGAAAATAGTCAGGCAAAGTGCAGTGTCTCTGTGGACACAAACACCACCACACACTTCTAGCATCTATTTTTTATTGTTTTAGAAAATCCTGATTAGTGCACCATTAAAATGACCTTTGTTAAAACACAATTTATTAAATACCGAATAGTATGGTATCTCGTTCAAAATGAAAGAGTTTCTTTGAATACAATTTTTAAAAAGCTGGAATTAGTCTAATTTTTCAATCTTGTTTATGAAAACAGGAGTAAACTATTTTTGAATTGTTGAATCAAGGCTGTGTGGGCTGTCATATGTTAATGTAGCCTAGAAATCTAGACGCACCCTAGCGGCAGCAAAAATTATTTTGCAGCAAAGTGTGGTCTAGCTGCTAGCAACTCTCCATAGATGTTTGAACTGGAAAACCCCAACTCTGGTATTGCCAATCACATCGTGTATAGAGTCGGAGGGCGGGCTTAACATAATGATGACAGAGTTGCGACGGTCAGAGCAAGCTCGGACATATTCGGTTTGAAGTCGTTCATCCTCGGATGCATCCGGTGCCGCGCGTGCTGTTACAAAAAAGCTGTGGCGAAATGATCAACTTGTCATATTTGCCGCCCGCGCTCGTGCTGTCAAGGTCGAGTATAAAGGCTTTACTCCGAGTCAGCGCGCGCTCTGATCGGTAAGGTGCACGGACCTCTCCCGAATCATCTCCAGCAAGCACCACTACTCCGCCTCCGTTTCCCTCGTAAGCTGATATTAATATTTAAACATTCTCTATGATATTATTTTTTTAATGACACACTGTCTCTTTCTCTCTCATACACACACAAACACACACATACTGTCTCTTTCTCTCTCACACATATGTTGGCTAGTTATAAACTCTTACTTTTATAAGACTGACTTCTTATAAACTGACTTTTAATGATTAGTGTTTTATTTTTAAAGTTTGTGGGTCGTGTAAAAAACAAAAAAAATCCCTTATTTTGGGGATGGATTCTGGGAAATCTCTCTTATTTTCAATGTTCAATGTTGACAGCTGGACTGGATACGGTAAAAGTTTAATATATCAACTTGCTCCGCTGAGTACGTCACCGTCTTTGTTGCTCTGATTGGCTTTAGCGCTATCCAATTGCGTGCAGAGAGAATTTGAAAGACAACCGTTTATCCTGCCCCTCGGATTGAGCCCTGTCAATGAAGAGTTTCCAGACCTAACATCTTGATGTAGGTCTGGGATGCCAGGCTAATGTTAATGAGCTATGGCTTCTAAATTAATATTTTGCAGTTTGGTTTCCATAAATGGAAGAAGTTTTTGGTTGTGGTTGTTTGGTTTTGTGCTGCTTTTTTCTGTCTAAAAAAAACATTTTCTATCTCTCTCCAGTCAGATGAAATGGCATGAAATATGTCTCAGTACTCCAGCAGCCATACTGGAGGTTCTCAATGCTTGGGAGAATGGAGTTTTATCAGTAGAGGCTGTTCAGGTGAGGACATTCATGTGGCCCTAACCATGCTCAAAGATTCATGACAATTGGATGACAATTTGGAAAGATTTTTTCAGAATACAGTAGTTTTATCTTTCTGGCTGTAAGTCTCTTTCTCTTTCTTTGAGTGTAGAAGATCACTGATAACATCAAAGGGAAGGTGTGCAGTATGGCCATCTGTGCCGTGGCATGGCTGGTGGCTCATGTTCGGATGCTAGGATTGGATGAGAGAGATAAACCCCAGACTATGATCCGTCAGCTCATGACTCCCATGTCAGGAGAAAACACTTTGCAGTTTTACCATGAGCGGTAGGGATCTCTACACAAACACACCAGACTATGTAACCACGCTAAATGGGCTATATGCACGCATAAGTTCCGCATTTGACGCAAGGATGCTCGTCCATTTCCGGTTGTGGAGATTAAAGCGGAGGAAAGCGGGATTATGGCAGAGTCTTCAAAATTTACTGTCCTCCTGTCTTTGAAACGAAACGTACATACGTTTAGATGTAATTTTATATATACTTATGTTTATTTAATATAATTTTCAAAAGAAGCATAAACACAACGAGGGGTGTCTGTTTTATCTGTTTTTGTGACTAACGTTTCTTTAGTATAACCATGGAGTATAAAATTTAGTATAAATTCTCAGTATTGCATTGGACTCTACGATCGGCGGAAGTTATCGAGCATCCTTACACCTTCACCGGAAATACCACCGTGCATAGAGCCCATTTTAGGAAGTAAACTACAGGTCATGAGATCCGAAAAATATTTCTACTAAGATTATCTAAATTAATTAAAATGCTAAAAAAAAAAACATACAATTAAGATGCAAACTGAAATTATTTATATATATTATTGCTGTCAGTCGATTTTGCACGTTTTTTTTCTGTAATTTCACAGATCACATTTCATAGATGCTCTCCAAATGAATGTAGAAACAACTTAAAGGGATAGTTCACTTTCAAATTAATTTTTGGTATGTTTAGCTTACCTCAAGGGCATCCAAGATGTAGTTGTCTTTGTTTCCGCAGTAGTTTCAACTTTGATATTTTTAGGTCAAACCGTTCTTGTCTGTTAATCATATAATGCAGGTCTATGGTCACTACCTCAAAGAGCATGCACAGAGAAGTCCAAATTAAACATTGATGGCCTAAGACACGAAATGAGCGGTTTGTGTGAGAAAACGAACAGTATTTATATCGTTTTTACCTCTTGTAACCACAGCCACGTCCAAGTGATCTGAGGGAGTGGACACTTTAGTCTGCACAAGCACAGGAACTACTGCGGAAACATATAAATAATTAAATAAATAGTGGGTAAAAGTGATTATAAGAGGGAAAAAAAGTGATTTATATTTTGAAAGGATTTATGAAAGTTGTGTGCCATGCACTGCCTTTAGTTCCAGGTCTTCAAGATTTCAGGCAGGTGTGTTTGATTAGGGTTACTAAAGGGATAGGGATACTAAACACTGCTGATCATGGTTCTCCAGGTACAGAATTGAATAGCCCTAAAAGACTGGTATTTGTCTCCCTTTTTTTCTCACACCTTCCCTAGTGTGGTGATTATGAGCTCTATCTTGGAGCACATGTGTGCTGATGTATTTCAGCAGACAGGACTGTCCCTGCGGCCAGCGGTTGAAGGTCAGGAGGTTATTCCCTACCGTAACCTTCTCCCAGCACGACTACCCATCCACCAGGCTCTGCAAACCCAGTTTAGGGAGGTTCTGGAGAAAGGCTGGGTGGACTCCCATGCATTTCATCTTTTTGAGAACCTACTACATATGGGAGGGGTTTTCTGGTTTACTAACAACCTGGTTAAGGTAAGTGTGTTTGGGATTGCTCTATTAAAGATTGAGGCAAATCTTCAGTTAATACAATACAAAATTCTTCACAGAACGCATTACACGGGCAATAGATTAGCTAAAATGGGTTTCACATCAGAAGTCCAACACTTTCTGACCTCTTACAGCTATGAATCCTTTCTCTGTTTTCAACTCCGACTTCTCTCACCTTTTTAATCAATCCACGAATATTAATACATTTTAGTTGTTTGAACTTGTTTTTGTTGTTTGAAATTGTTATTACTATCTTTACTGTTACTGCTATTATTACTATTTTCATTTGTACTTTTTCATTGTTGTAATTGCTATTGTTGCTGTCTTTTGCTTTCACCATTGCAATCACCACTGCCATCATCATTATCATTTTTTATTAATATCAATATTATTATTATTATTACTATTAGAATCATCAATATTACCGTTGTCAATGCTGTATTGGAATTAAGTGTCACTATCATCACTACTGATGACTATCACCACAACATAGAATAGGAAAGAAAAAAAAAAGGGAATATGTATATATGGAAAACCTCACAAACACCAGGGCAGGCAAGACAGGCGAGAAGTGGTTTCAGCGGGACAGCATCGCTGTCCCAAGTTAAGACAGTCTCGCACTGTACTCCCTCTTTTAATGCACTTTAGACATTGCACATAACACACACACACACAAAAAAAAAAATTAGGAGAAGATAGGGACTGAAGAGATGTGGGGGAAGGTTATCATTTATTATCTTATTATATCACCTTTTATTTTATACAGGGTTGACAATGGCAATTGGTACATAGGAGAAAGGATAAAAATCGACTAATACAATATTGGCAATATGGTGGTAGTGGGGGTGGTGATGGTAATGACAATGGTAAGAAATAATAAATGGTTACTTTGTTTACGCATACACACACATACCCACACTCATACCCACTCACATACACAAAAAAAAAAAAAAAAAGATTGAGGCAAATTAATTGTACCTGTAATCAGACTTTTGTGCATGTGTTTGTATTGTAGGAGCTCCTGAAGGAGACACGTAAAGAGTGGGCGTCTCGTGTGGTGGAGTTGCTGTACAGTATTTTCTGCCTGGACACACAGCAGATCACCCTCACCCTGCTGGGACACATTCTGCCACGTCTCCTCACTGACCCTGCCCATTGGCACAGCCTGGTAGATCCGCCTGGAAGAGCCCTGGCTAAGTATGCCTTTTTTTTCTCTTTTAAAAAGCATTTTGTGTTAAAATTGTGGTGAATTCATTACACACTTTAGGCACACTTAAAACAATAAGGTTTACTCGCTCTCTTGTCATTTCAAATCTGTATGACTAAGGAAAATTAAAAATGAGCATTATTCTCTACTCTCAAACGCTGGGGGCGTGTCTGCTGGCTCGAAACCACGCAGACTGGATGGAGATATCCAGCTTAATGGGATGGATGGATGGATGGATGGATGGGGCATTAATATAGCGCTTTCATATGTCTACTAGGCCTAACTGTTACACTCAAAGCACTTTACAATCATATCAGAAAATCTCTCTTCAACCACTAGTGGTTATTAAATCTGAGGAAATCACAGGATCCGGCCAAATGATTGGATACAGAATAATGCACTTAAAATGTGTCCATAACGTATTTACGGTGAAGAGGGAGACAGAACGAGATAGGTCTAACTGCAGAACCGCAGAACCATACGTCATAGCAGTGTGGGGACAACAGCGCCAGCCTGACAGCCTGATGCCGGAACTGGGCGCGGCAAGGCATTGCGCTACTTCCATGTTTTGGAATGTTTTAAAGTTTAAAACAAAGTTATTATAAAGACTTTTTTAAACGATTTAATTGAAAAGATATATTTAATTAAATAGTAGGCTATAAAAGATATTATGAATTGTCCTATTAACAAAAGACAATATTACTATTAACAAATGTTAATAGTTTTTTCAAAAGTTAAAATGATACTTTATCCATTTGGTTGGTTTGTTGAGTTAAAAGATTAACAATATAAATTGAACAGCTTAAAAAACAAGGAAAACAAAGCTTGAGCATTTGAACATATGATTTAATTGAAAATAATTTTTAATACTCAACCAACATTTTTTTTTTCATAGACCATACACAACAATTATATGATAGACTGAAAAAAAATGATTCATTTAAATAAAATGAGTTTTTTTCCTCTGAAATATCAAAAGATCGTTGTGTGCTCCTAGGCCTAGGAGAAATATATATTTCAATTCTCATGGTCAGAAAATTTAACAAATGGTGTATGATACTACGCCAACAACAACTTAAATCACAAACCATGATATAACCTAACAAAGTGATACAATCCAACACTAGCTAAAACAACAATAGACCTACAAGATCAAGTGCTTTCGTCACAATTCTCACTTAAGCCCCTTTCACACAGCGAGTTGATCCCAGGAAATTGCCGGGAAATTGCCAGAACGCCTTCTGTGTGAACGCAAACACGACCTGGGATTGTTTCTGGGATTGATGCCAGGTTGGGGACCTAGTAACATTGCCGTAATCAGTCCCGGAACGCGCGCTGTGTGAACAAAAGCCAGGACCAATGCCGTAAAGAGTGTGTCATAGTGATGACGCTCGTGCCATCGCGCGACTCTGTTGCTCTTAGAAGAAAGTTTGTGTTCGTCATCAACAAAGAAAGGACGAACAAATACCTGCAAACTGGAGCGAAGCAGAGACCAGGAGCTCCTCACTATCCGTACTAGGGGTACCGATTAACCGTTTAAAATTGCATAACCGAGTGAAACCTTTTTGCTCGGTTAAGTGGCGTCAATACATATTTGCACAAAACTTTTGCGTTTTTTTTTTCTGATTGTCGATAAAAAAATATTGTGAAATGACAGCGTTTCTATTAACGGTGTTATGCGACTAAAACATTTTTTTTTCCTTTCGCGATAAGCCATTCCAAAAATAATGGCAACGGACGTTGATATCACAGCCACCGCACTAGACATTATTATTATTTATGGAAGGAGACTTGGTGTGTCATCCAAGCATTAATGGCAGGGAAAGTCACAGAGTTTCTGTGTGTTTCTCCCTCATTTCTGCTCCGTGGTCTTGATTGTGGCATTTCTTTGAGGTTTTGTCTAGTAGGCTATTCCTTGTATCTTTTATGAATTTTAAAAAAGAACTCTGCCTCGTATTATGTCCAAACGGTCAGTGTACTTTTGTGTTCATTCGTTTCCCCTTATTTAATCAGAAGGCCTAATTACAAAACGAAAAATGAACGGTTGTTGTATTTTGTAAAACGCAGAGTTGAACACCAAAATGTTCATTTGAACTGTAGGACTAGCTGCGCAAAAATATATAGGCTATATATCGATGAATTTTCAGATATTTGTTTGATTTTTTTGCCCCTTTAAACTATTTGACAAATGAATATGGAAAAAAAAAGATTTTACTGGTTTTCTGAGGCCAAATTAGAACCTGGAAATTATATTTTCCCCACAGTGCTGAATGAGAAGAGCCGTAACCACAGCCTACAGAAAGGGGATTTATAGATGATTTATAAGATATAATAAATGTGTCTGATAATAAAATAATATAAAATAACGAGGCATTAATTGTTTATTAATAAACTATTGTTTTCTAAATCAGTTTCTGCTAAAAACAAATCTCCATCCCCGGATGCACCTTTAAAGAGAAATACATAATTAGCTAGGCTATTACATAGTCAGAAGATATTGGCTTTTGATTCGAATTTGTTCGTTTTAAATTGGACATTTAAAGCTTTAGTCTACTCAGACTAAAGCGTTAAATGTCAAATTTAAAACGAACAAATTGGAATGCTGTGGCTGTTTCAGTTCTCGCGCTTCAGTTCACGGAGATCATGAAGTGCGCCTGTTTGTTAAAGCACAACAAGTTTACGCAAATAAATGTATTTGCGAATAATGTATTATTATTTTCTGTATGACCAGAAATGAAAGAGTATTTTAAGTTGTTTCCACTGAAAGAACTGCAATGAAACTACAAGTGTTCACATGGGCGTCTCGCAGCCTCCACACTAAGCACACACACTGGATATGCGTCAAAATATTGTGTTTATTTGTGCTTTGTTCCTTTTTTGGATAAAAGCATCTTCTACGTATGCAGCCTATAAAATGGTACAATAGCTAATGATGATTATTATTATTATTTGTGGACACAGAGTTTTTGCGAAGTGGACGTGTTGCCAATGTGCCTATTTTCAATTGGCAATTTCAGTTTAAAGGGTGATGGAAACGCGCCTACTTTAACTGCTCTGAACTTACCACTGCGTTTTATTTCTATAAATTAATTTCGTTTCAAATGGGGTCCAACCAGTTATTAAAGGTGTTAAAAATTAACTCTGTATCTCGAGCTTGCGGTGCGCACACACTATGGTTAACCGAGTATTAACCGATAAGGGCCTCGGTTAACGGTTAATGAAAAACTTGAAAACGTGCAGCCCTAATCCGTACTGAAGCTGAGATCGTTCACTAGCTTTGTGGAACGGTATGCGCGTGTACATGTTTTCGACGCGTCCGTTATACGTCTCATCCTGACGTCCTGTGTCTTCCCGGAATTTTTACGGGTTGTGTGTGAACACACTCACAGATCCCGGCAAATCACTTGCAGTGTGAATGAACCGAAATCAAACAATCCCGGGACAAATGCTGGGTCACATTATCCGTGTATTTTCTGGAATCTCTGTGTGAAAGGGGCTTTAGTCACATTTATTATATAGTACTTTTTACAATACAGATTGTTTCAAAGCAAGTTTACAGGGATAGGAAAATAATTCAACAAAGTTTGTCTCTGCAGATCTAGAACAATATAGTGTCATAATCCAAGTAATTTCAGTGTTGATTCATTTCTGTTGTAAAAAAATTATTTCAGTTAATTAATATAGCCATTCTGATGTCTTCGTCCAGCTCAGTTCAGTTCTCATATAATGGTGTCACCTATCCGCGTTCCCATTACCCTTCAAAATGCGCATTTGAAATTGCAAATTGAATACATGCACAATGGAAATGCGTCTATTTCACAAAAACTCTCATTTATCGTAAAAAAGTGTTTATGCTCGCAGGGTTTTCAGGCAATTCGAAATAGGGATATTGCGCAAAACTGCAATGGAAACAGGTTTTGCGCATTTACAATCACCTGACAGTTAGAAGACATGGTGTGTTTGGGGTCCGTGTCCGCAAATAATATTAATAATATCATCATTAATATAACATGTATTAGGCTATATAGCCTATGCAGAAAACGTGTTTATCCCAAAAAAAGGAACAAAATAATTCGTCACATGTCACTCATAATACAGGGCTAAGATTATCACAAATAAACACAAGATTTTGACGCATATCCCAGTGTTTGTGGGGAGTGTGGTGCGATCACTGGATGGCAGCAGGGAATCGTGGGCACGGACACTTGCATTTTCCTATCAACCGTGGAAACAACTTAAAATACTCTATAATTTCTAGTCATACAGAAAATAATAATACATTATTCACTACGTGTATTTGTGTAAACTCACAATAACAAGAAAACGTTGTGCTTTTGTAAAATAAACTAAAACAATCAGGAAATCATGAAAGCTCATGATCTCCGTGAACTGAAGCGCGAGAACTGAAACAAAATATAGCCAATGTTGGCAAAAGCTTGAAATGTCCACTTTAAAACGAACAAATTAGAATTGAAAACTAATATCTTCTGATTATGTAATAATCCGTATGAAAGTTGCTTTTCTCTCTATAAAGGTGCATCCGCCTTATATGGCCCACTTCCGGCATCAGACTGTCAGGCTGGCGCTGTCGTCCTCACACTGCTATGACTTATGGTACTGCGGTTCTGCAGTTGGTTAATATTGCACAGAACAGTTACTGTTGTGTTCTTGATCCAGATTGTGTTGACTAGACGAGCACGAAAACACCTCAAAACACTGTACCTGTATAGAATTTTGTTAAAAGCCCAGATAAAAGTAAAAAGCTACTATTTGTGTTGGTCCATGCCAGTTCGACTTCACAAGAGCTTTTCTTTACACACACGCGCGTGCACGCTCTAAGCTAGTGGATGCGCACTGTTATGAATGCACACACTTCTATGGAAGACTGTAAAGTAATGTTTTGACTTTTATCTCGAAACATTTCGAGGCTTTGACTTGACTTCCATAGTATGAAGAAAAAAAAAAATACTATTATGGGGCCAAATAACTGTTTGGTTTCCCATATTCTTTATAATATAATCTTTTAGTTCAGCAGAAGAAATAAATTGATCCCTTTAATGCTTAAAAATGTTACATATACATACATAATACAACATAAAAATAACAATGTTGTATTATAAATATTTAATTTGTGCTGGAAGATTGAAGTAACCAAGTTATAAAGTAATCTTAAATTGGGTTCAATTTTGTTTTATTATTTGTGTTCAGTTCTTATTTTTAATATAGATTAAAATTATGATTCTACTTTTTATACTGAAAGCATAAATATACAGTAACTGGTGGACTAATCAAAACAGGCTCTCAGAACACCCTTCCAAGGGGGCAGCAGGATCCAGATTATTTAAATGAATGTATTATAAATACAATTTATATAATTAATATATTAACTAACTTAATTCAAATACAAAAAAAAAATCCAAAAGAGAATTCTAAAATTATTTATTTAATATCTTATTATAAATACAGTTTAAATTGATTTTAATTGTCATATTAAGATTATCTAACTTAATTTTTAAGATTATCTACTTAAATTTTTGCTTTTTTTTTTTTACATGATTGTAGACTTGGAATTAAAGCCTCTTGTGTTTCCCCGTTATTATTCAATTCACGGGACCGGACACCAGTTATCTTCCCAAGAAAGTTTTATTATATATTATATATATGTCAGGAGAGAAACTTCAAGATGTTCAAGGTGTTCATGCCAGGTCTCTGCGTTTTTCCATGTTTCTCTACCCTCTCACCCGGTCATGCCTACATGTTTCTCTGAGGGTGGTACAATGACATTGAGCTTTTATACATCACACAGTCTTACAGCTTCCTTGTAAGGTAACAAACATGTTGCTCTGAGCTTCTCAACTTAGAACATATATGTCATACGTACGTGACTATCCTTGTTTTTTACATATGTGATGCACTTGCATCAGTGGAAGCATTTATGCTGAGTGAACATGTTACATTGCACACATACCTCTCTAAGCAACATATAGCTTTCCCCTGACATATGTTATCCTCTCATGCATTCAAACTCATGCTTTTGAAACTCCATAAGATAATACATTGATTATGAAAACTAATAAAGAATAATAATACAGATATATAATATTTAATAATAAAATAATAGTAAAAGATGAAATTTTATTCTTCAATGATTCTTCTTTCATCTGCTTCCTCTTTTTTCAGTCTGAGATTCAAAACGGACATCCGTTGTGATGGATATGAAGTTGCCGGGCTATTTCCTTAGTTTCTCTTCTCTTTTTTTTTTTACTTACAGTTAGTTTAACAAACATTTAGATGAGCTCAATCACCCCTAATAGATGTAAACCTTTCATCTGACATAAATTACGTGGGGGAACACCTGCTTAAACGCAGAGGAGAGAGAGCATCTCTACATGCATCTAGATGTTAACTTCAAAATTAAATAAAAGACACAAATCCAATTTTGATTTCACAAGGTATTATGAAAAAATGATAATATGTGTGGGTGTGTGTTATAGGTTGTCAGTGTGGTGTGCTCTCAGTTCTTACTCGTCTCATCATAAGGGTCAAGCATCAGCACGACAGCGCAAGAGACAACGTGAGGATATAGAGGTCGGTTACGCTGTTTCTCAGACAGCTTGTTTTTTAATTGCCTCTATTATACTTTTGTAAAGATTCCTAATTTTGTTTTGGATGTCTGCTACAATAGGTTTACATCAATACAAGGTCCAAAACACTTACATTTTTTCATGATATATGTGACGCGATCTGAGAAAGCCCACCACATGGTGAAATTTTACATTTCACAGGTTACAGATCATATTAAAGCTGGGTTCAAGCCCTTTCTAAATCTGTTTTTATTTATTTCTATAGTTCGTCTGTAACTAAAGTTATGGTTATCTCAAGTCGGCTGATCGTTGTGATTTTCTGAAATAGAATTTTGAAAAAAAAAGGTTTAATTAACTGTCACGTCCTGTTTTTTTTTTTGTTGTTTTTTTGCTTTTTTTTCATATCACATAATATTTTATTGTTCATCATAGATAGGTATCATTCGAAAGCTTACGAACTCAAAATTCATCCTGTGAAAACTGTTTTGAAATTGAAGGGTCTTTTAAACAAGCAGCTTCAGACTCTGTTGTTCTCTTGTGCTCCGCATCACACCACACGATAATGCTAGATAAAAATAAATAAATAAAAACTTGCGTGCAGTCGTAGTTTACACAGGACTGGCGGGACCTTTATTCTGTAATGTGGTTTATTTTCATAGCCAAAATTGTCTTAGTGTTAGCAAGCGTGCCGCACAAGCCCTCAAAAGTGAAGCCAAAACGTCTCGATCGCCCCCCTGTGACCGGTCCTAGTATAGCTCATAACCCCCGCCTCCCCATGTTATTCAATGGGACGCGAGACCAAGTAAACAATTAAATTACACTTCACATATCCTTTTTCCAAAGATAGTTTCTGTCATTTACTGTAGTTTCTATCATGTTGATGTAATTTCAAGTGTTCGTTTTTAAAATAAGTTTGTTTTTAGTTAGTTATGTGATGATAAAAACGGTGCTCTGACATCATGATTGACAGCTGTGATTGACAGGTTCTCTGTGCGAGGTAATCACTGAAGCACCAGCGGACTTTTTTCAAAATGTTGATTGTGGTTAGTAGTTGTATACTATTTACCTTATTTTAACGAGGTTCTGCAATCAGCAGACATCATTGGAGAAGAACGAAGCAGACAGAGGACACTTAATAAAAGTGCGGGGCGTGTGCTTGCGTTTGATTCAGCGCGAATGAGGGCGCGGCCTTGATTTCGCGGCTTTACTTCCTGCTCACGACTGCACATGACTGGTCCCGAAACACGCAAGTGCGCAGACTCAGGTCCCAAGATGTCAGCGTCATATCGAGACACTGGCGGCTTCGATCCTCTCTGATGGAAAAGAGCGAAGGGGCGTCGTCCATCTTTTTTTACAGTCTATGGTTAAGAGGAGGAGAACTAATGGCCTTTTTCTTTTTTTCACCGCCACTCTGCGTGTGTTCTTAAAGAGAAAGACACGTCTTTTCAGCTTGCCACTACAAATCGCTATTTTTCTGCACTAATCTAGTGAATTTTCCCCAAGATATATTCAGATATGATAAACTATAGAATATAGTTATAGAATAATAATTTATTGAAAACCCAAATTTGACAATAAACTGAGATTCAATCTATTTTTAGACTTTACTGAAAATGTACAAGCGCGACATCCGACGGGTTTTCCGAGATCGCATCACATATATTGCAGCATCACCTCTTTGCTCACAGTGTCTGAAATGGTTCTATAAAGGATTTGGTCTCTCTAAACCCTCTCTTTTCAGAGAGCCACTTTGTTTTTATTGGTCTACCGCTGACTTCATGTGTCAGTAAGGAAATGCCTACCATATTGGATTATCCTATCTAAATTTCAGCTCCAGAGGCTTCCTTAGCACTTGAGCCATAGTGATAGGTACGATATTTTACGTATCAATTTGAGCCCGGGTCCTCATTCTTGATTATTGCTTGGTAAGTGGATTTGCTTTCACAGTGTAGAAAACTGCGTCTTCTCTACATGTAGACGACAAAAAAAGACAATCTCTTTCAGTCCTTAGATACAACTACAGTGTTTGTAGTGTGGGTCCAAGTAGACGTTGTTCGCGGGCAGCCAATGAAGACCTTTGGATGGCATTAGGGGTGAGCGATATAGCAAAAATATCATATCACGATTTTTTTAGGAAAATCACGATCACGATTTTTTATCACAATTCTTTTTCAAGTTGGTTTTACTATTTTGCAAGTGGCTGTTCATTACAGTCAAACTAATGTCCCTATGTTAAAAACAAAGCCTTAGGTAACAAAAGAAAAAAGAAGGCATACATTTAGGCCAGTGTGAAGATAAAAATCTTTGTCATTATTTTCTTTGTTATTAAAAAAAAACAAGTTTATAAACATTACACAAATTAATATTCAAATTAAATAAACAGTGCTTTATTTTTTTTGCTAAAGGTTATTTAGCAGTAGCATTGAAGAAAGTAATTAAATTAACATGTATGAAATTAAAACACTACATAAACTTCACTGTATAAATTATTGATTCTTATTAAAGCTACTAATAAAGTTCTCAGTCATTGACTGATTTTCTCTTTCTTTTTTTTCTTTTTTTGTTTTATTAACACTAAAGATAGTTTCCTCAAAAATTAAAATTGTCTTAATTTACTCTCTCAAGATGTTTTAATAAGTTTAAATATAAGTTTCTTTTTTCTGTTGAAAAAAAAAAACGTTATTTTGAATAATCTGGGTAAGTTGCTGGTCCCCAGTGTATAGTTTTGTTTTGTTTTTTTCTCTCCTGGAAGTTAATGGGGACCAGCAACTGTTTGGTTACCCACATTCAAAAACAAAATCTTCTTTTGTGTTCAGCACAAGAAAGAAATTAATACAGGTTTGGAACAACATTAGAGTGAGTAAATAATGACAGATTTTTTTTTGTGAACTATCCCAGTTTAAATACAAGCGGCAGTACTATTTACTACCGTCGCTTTTAGACCAGCACGCAACGCATTTAATATAGATGCATATTACACCAGATTTTCTCTCAAATGTTTGCTTTCACTTTAGACATAGCCAATTCTGTTTATGTAAACATTGTGTGTATTTAACAGTATTAACATAAAAGGTAACTTAGTCAAGTATTCAGGCACTGTTTGACAGGCTTCTAGTGCCTGTGAGCGTCGGGGATATGCGCTCAGGAAAGAGCACGTTAGAACAGCGCATCAGCACGTGAATTAAATGTTTAACCGGCAAGGCTTATGCAAATAATTAACTTTTGTGAATTGCAGTGTCGGGTACTTTAACGTGTGATGTGTAGGCTACGTCACGTTGTACAGTTGAGACAGAGACACCAGAACTGAACTGATCGAATGCACTGTAACACGGTACAACGATATTTCTTCAAAAGCAGATCGTGGAGACATTTTAATAGTCCACGATCAAAAATCGTGATATCGCACACCCCTAGATGGCATTATACAAATGTGTTACCAACCTACGTATGTAGGTCTGGGCAGAAAGTAAGACTGGAATTACTGATGACTCGTTTCAGGCAGTTCAAAATCTTTTTTTTTTTTTTCTCTGGGAGACAGATAATAACTCAATTTATTATTTACTTTGATCTTTATAACTTTTCAGACCTTTTACATTAACAAACATCTATATTACACACTACATGAAAGGTAATGTCTGAAAAAAGCATAATGGAGCACGTTAACTGAACTCAGTCATGCTTCATCCAGTCTATGTGTACACCGTACAGACATTTGTATAATTAACACATGTACTGTATGTCTTACCCCTTAGCACATACTTCTTAAAACTTAAACTAAAATTTAAGTCTCACTCATTGTTCTCTTATTGGTTCTAGGACTACACCAGCCTGTTCCCTTTGGATGACACGCAGCCATCTAAACTGATGCGTCTGCTTAGTTCCAATGAGGACGAGACTGTCATGCTATCCAGTCCAGGTCATTTCCTGCCTGCCCCACTTAACACAAGCTGCACAAAAAACAACACCTGCATTAAAATCATGCACATCTGAGGATTAATGTGCAATTTTTATCTATTAGTCAGTCTAGAAACTTGTTAACCAAATCTGCCTATGCTGCAATAATTGTATGATGTCAATTTAGCAGAAAAATCCCCACAAAAAAAAGCTTGCAATAGTTTTGAGCTTCCTGTGGCAGGATCACTCAATATGCCTATGACATAATGCATGTTCAACTTATTTTCTAAAAAATTATTTGCCAAAGACAAACCAAAAAACATTTTTGTTAATTTCCTTCATTTAGATTAAGAATCTTTGCTGAATTAATGCAAATATTTTTTTACTGCCTTTAAGATTACTGTTACTTCACTTAAAATATAGACTTTTTTCCATCCCTGTTCTAGCTTGCACTAATCCGTACAACGATTTAAACTTTGAATTGGTAGCACTTCTCACATTATTGTCATTTTAGGGTGAATCACTTGTTGCTTTCCTTATTTGTAAAAAGCATCTGCTAAATGAATAAACGTAAATGGATAGAAAATAGAAAGAAAGAATATTGAGAAAACTGTATTGTTATAAGAAGTGTCTGAAAGCATTGGCTATTTTGTCACTTTCACTAAAAAATGAGGAAGAGCTGGAAAAGAAAGTGTTGGTTTTATTCATGCAGTAAACCAAGAAAGGGAAGTTTAGTGAAATCCACTTTGATGGCCACTGTGACATTTTTACGGTTTCTACTTATATTACAACATTTAGGTCTGTTAAAACTGACACTAAGTAAACTGATGTTATCTTTCTAGGTGACCGTTCCATGAGCAGTTCACTGTCTGCCTCTCAGCTTCACACTGTTAATATGAGAGACCCTCTCAACAGAGTGCTAGGTTTGTGCTGCATCTTTGCTGAACATTTAGTCCCACTATGTAGATTAAATAACATGGTATTACCATCTCTTTACTGTAGCACCACTGGACTACCTCTTACAAGCCATGCTTACAAGCAGATTCTTGTCTCTTCTTTTTTTTCTAGCAAATCTGTTCCTGTTGATTTCCTCTCTTTTGGGGTCTAAGACAGCAGGCCCTCACACACAGTTTGTTCAAAGCTTTATCGAGGAGTGTGTGGAGTGCTCAGAACAGGGCAGCCGGGGCAGTATCTTGCAATTTTTGCCCTTTACCATGGTGAGGGAATCATCTACATTACTATACCAGAATGCTGAATGTATATCAATGTATGTTTAGTGCATGTAACACTGCACAATTAATCGTATTTGAATCAGGATTAAAATTTCTGCTTCTCTCACTTAAATATAATCGTCTGTGATATGTGCCTCCTTGATGTATATAATTTGACATTTCTGATATCTTGTGTTGCTGTGGTCACCAGATGTCAAGAGTTTAAATCCCCCCATTTGAGCTTTTCTCTAGATATATTTTCTTCCCAGTGTTTTACTTAATCTTCCCAACCTGGCAACCACATGCACATGCTCTCTCTGCACTGCACAAAGCGCTGATGATCTGAAAACGCTGAGAAACATGTTTGTTGGAGTTTGGTGATCTCCATTGCGATTATTCTGCTTAAATGAAAGCTTATGCTGCATTAGGGACATTTTTGGTCTTTTGCAGTTTAATTTCTTTGACCATTTTGGCTGTTTTAATGCAAATGATATGTAATTTGGCAAAATTGTGACTTTTTGGATAAATGTAAAAAATGTGATCCAAATTTGCAAAATATCTATAACACACACTGTGTAGATCAAATAGTAACACTCAGTACCATAAAGACCAAAAATGGCCCATTGAAACCCATTAAAACGTTGTTTAAATCCGAGGCTGTCATTAATACATGAAACATGATTTTTGCTCAAGCATCCTTTCATTTTGAAACAAAAGCATTATATTTGCATTATATATTGTATTCCACCAGATGATGTCACTACATCTGTATTCCCTATGGGTGGAAATGCACCTTTAATGCATTTTAATGGCTCAATGATCTAAAATTATGTTTCTGAGTATGTGTGGATGTCTGAGAGCAGTGTGTGTGTGTGTGTGTGTTGACAAAAGTGTGTGTGTAGGGCCTAAATATAATACATGGTGTTTGTGTGAGTGGCAAATCACAATATCCTAAAGGTCATATTTTACCCTTTCTGTTTACTCTCTCTCTCTCTCTCTCTCTCTCTCTCTCTCTCTCTCTCTCTCTCTCTCTCTCTCTCTCTCTCTCTCTGTGTGTGTGTGTGTGTGTTAGTGGTGTTGTGTGTGTGTGTGTGTGTGCATGAGTGCGTGCGTGCGCTTATAGCTAGAGAAAGCGCTTCTCACTGCATTGTTTTCTTTCGGTTTGATTCATGCATATTTTACGCACAAACATGAATCTTTTAAATTTTACGCATCTTTGACATCTTTTTGGGCAGTCTATGTTTCAAAGTTAATTGATAACTTCGCACATATGAAGAGGCACAAACACAGCCATGCAGTCAGTCCTTAGACAATAATAGACAATAATAACGAAGTCTGCCTTTCATACAAGTGTGGTTGATGCAAAAGTTATAAAGGTATGCACATCTTTGGTGCAGCAATTTTAAACTCGACAAGATGAAGAAAAGCTAGTGGGTCTGCAGACACCCATGACAAGAGGAGGAGGGGGTGCAGTTTCAGCCCTAGCAAAAAAGAAAAATCTCCACTACCTGCTCAAAATGTGGCATTTTCATCTGTAAAGCTCAACTTCAGACAACAGCAAAAGAGGCAAAATGAGTGGGTCTTGAGGTCAACATTAAAAAGAAGGAAGCAACCAAGAACTTGCCGGGCCAGAGACGCCAATCCACCTATATCAATTCATCAAACTCGACGGACAAAAACTCGAATGGACAAAAGACTTCAATTATCTTGGCTCTGTCTTTGCTTTGAGCGAAACAGACATCAGAGCACGAAAAGGACAAGTGTGGGGACCATTCTGGAAAATGAAGGATGTATTTCTGTCAAAAACTCTTCCAATCAAACTCAAACTAAACATATTTGAAGCAGCGTGCATTTCCATCCTCCTGTACGGCTGCGAAAGTTGGGTTATCAACCAGAAAATGCAAAACTCACTCAACAGCTTCGCCACCAGTTGCTACAGAACCTTGGCATAAAGAAGATGGATCGAATAAGTAACCAAGCTGTATACAAAGCCGTCGAAAAGAACCAGCTTATTCTTCAAATCCAAGGCAGCTACGCTTTGTCGGCCACACACTTAGAAGAGACCCAAATGACCAAATTAACAAATATGTGTTATATACACCCAAAGAATGACATGGCAAACGAAACCGAGGAAAGCCATGCACATTATACCATACATACATCGGCAAACTAATCAACAATGACATGCCACCAACAGCTGACGAGATTCGAAGAGCTGCTAGTAATCGAACAGAGTGGAGAAAACTTGTGACCGACTGCAAACCCGTTTTGTTCGCAGCCGATTGATGGTGATTACATCTGTAAGGAGCATGCATTGCAATTCTGCAGCTCCTGCAAATGAGCTGAAGAATGACACCATTTTGTTTTGAAGTTTTGATCTGTTTTATGTTTATAGAATACTTTTTTTTTTAGAGAATTCATGTTCATGGCATATTCAAGACTGTGATAATCCAAAGTCAAGGGTTTCTCTTTGCATTTAGTTTACTGAAAATAATTGAATTTTTGTGTTTTTTCCTCTTATACAAATCGATGGTTTCGCCACCAAAACTGGTAATTAAAGGGTTAAAATCCTGAAATGGAATACATTTTTGGTAGTTATGATGAGGACTGATGCTGATTAAAAGATTTAAAGGGTTAGTTCACCCAAAAATGAAAATTAAGTCATTAATTACTCACCCCCATGCTGTACCAACCCCGTAAGACCTTCGTTCATCTTCGGAACACAAATAAAGATATTTTTGATTAAATCAGAGGGCTGGATCACTTTTCCATAGACAGCCTGAGGGACTGCCTCTTGACGGCCCAGAAAGTCATTAAAAGAAAAGGTTTAAATATTCCATGTGCCTACAGTGGCTCAACTATAACTTTATCAAGCGACGAGACTACTTTTTGTGCGAAAAAAAAAACGTAAATAACGACTTTATTCGACTTTCCATTACTTCCTTATGGGCGCATGCGCGAGAACTGAGACGAGACCGTTCTTCTTCGACTACTTTTTGTTACCGGCTGCTCACCGCTTAGGAGTTTTACCGCCCCTACCGTATAAGATGACGTACTGCTTGTAAACAGAACGTTTTTCGCCTCCGGCTATATCAGTACGTCATCTTATACGGTAGGGGGCGGTAAAACTCCTAAGCGGTGAGCAGCCGGTAACAAAAAGTAGTCGAAGAAGAACGGTCTCGTCTCAGTTCTCGCGCATGCGCCCATAAGGAAGTAATGGAAAGTCGAATAAAGTCGTTATTTACGTTTTTTTTTCGCACAAAAAGTAGTCTCGTCGCTTGATAAAGTTATAGTTGAGCCACTGTAGGCACATGGAATATTTAAACCTTTTCTTTTAATGACTTTCTGGGCCGTCAAGAGGCAGTCCCTCAGGCTGTCTATGGAAGAGTGATCCAGCCCTCAGATTCAATCAAAAATATCTTTATTTGTGTTCCGAAGATGAACGAAGTCTTACGGGGTTGGTACAGCATGGGGGTGAGTAATTAATGACTTAATTTTCATTTTTGGGTGAACTAACCCTTTAACTTGGTAAAAGTGGAAAATAATAATAATATATAATATTTTACAACGCATTCTCACCCCAAGGCGTCACCTTTGACCATGCTTCAATATTTGACGTTTTAGGCGCCCTTTAGCGTCACTTACATGACGCGATCCTACGGCGTCATCTAACTGACGCTAAAGTAAAGCGTCAGTTAGAGGACGCGGTTAGGTTTAAGTGTGGGGTGGGGGTAGGGTACACGCGATCCTAGGGCGTCATCTAACTGACGCTAAAGGGCGCCTAAAGCGTCAGATATTGAAGCATGTCCAAATGCTTCCCAAGCGTCAGTTAAGTGACGCCTTGGGGGTGAGAATGGGCTGTATTTTAGGCAATATTTAATGTGTGGCCATTTTTGGTCTCTTAACGCGCTAAGTGCCGTTTTTTTTTTTTTTTAAATCTGGCATAACACAAAATCTTTAAATGCACCAGAAATAATGTTGCTGCTGATCTTTGACATATTCAAGACTGTGATAATCCAAATCTAAAGTTTTCTCTTTGCATTTAGTTTATTGAAAATAATTGAATTTTTGTGTTTTTTCCTCTTATACAAGTCGATGGTTTCGCCACCAAAACTGGTAATTAAAGGGTTAAAATCCTGAAATTAAATACATTTTGGTAGTTATGATGAGGACTGATGCTGGTTAAAAGATTTAACTTGGTAAAAGTGGAAAATAATAAAAATATATAATATTTTAGGCAGTGTTTAATATGTGGCCATTTTTGGCCCTTAATGCACTCAACAGTGTTAAAAATCTAATGCAGCACAAGGGTTAATACAGCCAAACTGTTCATTCATGGGGCCGTGACTGACTACAATAAATCTGAACAAAACTTGACTATTCACAATTTGGAATATCTGGAATTAATATTAACAATTTAGCTTCTTTAGGTTTTACCAATTTTCATAATGTTGAGTGTGTTGATGTAAATAATACATATAATAATTCAGGAAACAAGATGAGATAAAATAAACCCTACATAGGAGTTGGCGTTCTCTTCATTTGTGCTTATATGAATGTGCAAAAATTCTAATGTAAAAAAAAATGGTAACACTTTATTTACATTAAATTGTGCATATTTATGTGCAATTACCTCTAAACCAAAGAGAAACCCAATATTAAGTACACGTTGTTCATTGATATTACTCTGTACTGAATAATTACACTGTAACAAGAACAATGTAATATAAGGTGTAACCAAAGAAAATTGTCAAATGAGAAGTTTTGATCAATAATCGAATTTGGTTACACTTTGTTTGAAGGTGTGATTGTTACAGTGTAATTATACATTTAAGTACTTAGTTACTAGTACTGTTAATATTAATTAACAATATGGGTAGGGTTTGGTTTAGAGTTAGTTGCATGTAATAATAATAATAACAGTAAATTATGCATAATTATATTACAGTAAGTACATTGTAAGGACACTGAAAAAAGTCATCCAATCTTTTATTTTTTATTGGCATAAATTATGATTATCGGTTAAAATTATCATTCAGCTCTATACTTTAGAATGGAAAACCTTTACTTTTTGAATTTGTCTTCACAGATTTCAGAACTGGTGAAGCTTCAGGCACTCGCAAAACCCAAAACTGTTCTGTCTATCACAGACTTGAGCCTTCCACTGGGCCGGAGGATGGCAGCTAAAGCCATCGCTGCTTTATAGAGGACATTCACTCCAGCATGCCTATTTTTGTGGGTGTGTAAGAGTGAGAAAACTGCTACGACCTCCCTTCCCAAAAGAGTAATTTCTCATCATCTACCTAGGCTTCCAGTAACCTCTGGGGGTTGGGATGGGTTGTGATGTTGCATTTACGTCTGTCGCCTCGAGGACAGCTCAGTGTTAGTTCTGATTTGACGCACAGAGTAGCTGATAGCTGACTGTTCACATTAATTTGACATTTATTTCCATTACTCAGAAGTGGAAACAGAAAGTAACATTGTGGTATAATGTTTGTTTTTATATATGTTATAACAGGTCATGCATTATTGCCTGTTGACAACTTTTTGTGTTTTTATAAACAATGACAGTGATTTGGATTTCCTGCAAAATAAGAGAACTTGTATATTTTTACTAAAATTCCAATAAAATGGTGAAATTGTTAGAGATGTTACTTCTCTTTGAAGTGTCTATTTAAAAATTTGTCTTGATAATGATAATTTGTCTTGTGTTCTCGCTTGTCAATAAAAACAAGCAAAAGTGTTTGTTCAGCAGCGGTTATTTATTAGATTTCCACTAAACATTCAGAATCATCTCTGGTGTCTAATATCTTTCTGTTGATGATTTGTACCGTTAGATATTATCTGTGTTCAATTGGAACAACTAATGGGAGTGGGTGTATTTTAGCATTAGTTGGCCGCCTTTTCTCAATCTGCCCGAAGGTAATTCTTTGATTTAAAATAAGAATTACAAAATGCATTTTTCATTGTTTCAAATTTTCATTATGCATCTATAAATATACACTGCCCAGCCAAAAAAGAAAGCCGCTCTTTGGATTTAAACAAACGAGTCTATGAATTTTCAAATTGTAAAAGAATGGTTGAGAGGGTGTATAAAATAATTTTCATACATGAATTGGCCCCTCTGAGTCCAGACCTTAAGTCCATTGAAAGTCTTTGGGATGTGCTAGAATAGACTTTACAGAGTGCTTGGTTGGCAATACACGATCTTGACCAAAACCATATTCTCCATATATATAAAACTCCATATTTTCCTGTCATCATTTATGAACCATAATAGCTAATAGCCTAAAAAACACACACATATGCAAACATCTAATATATATATAAATATATATATATATATTAGATGTTTGTATATGTGTGTTTTGTTGCAATACGTTACAATACATGTATTGTCTAAAGGTTAAATAAACTTTTTTTCAAGATTTTTTTTTTTTTGTCATTATTTCATGTCAGGCTTATTAAAAATCTTGACACTTGTCATCATAAAATGCGGTTGCTCAACATTTGAGAGCAAGGCACAGGACAAAGACCAACCCAACAATGCCTATACCATCTACCATCAAGATTTGGTTAATTTGCTGCTATAGGAGAGGAAGAATTTTGCAAACTCGTTAATTCATCTAAATCAACATGCATCAACCTGCATCAACATGGTTTAATCATACTTATCTGACCGTTATCAGTTTGTACCAGTAAATGAAGAGATGTCTTATCGATCACAAGTTCAGTATGGCATACCACAAGGCTCAGTACTAGGACCGCTGCTATTCACTCTGTACATGCTATCATTAGGAGATCTCATTAGGAAACATGGAATTAGCTTTCACTGTTATGCTGATGATACCCAGCTGTATATTTCTTCAAAACCTAACAAAACTTACCAGTTCAAAAAATTAACAGAATTCATAGCTGATATAAAAAATTGGATGAACAGTAATTTCCTACTACTATATTCTGAAAAAACAGAGATTCTAATTATTGGACAAAAACTTCCACACGTAACAGCCTAGAATACTGTCTAACACTTGATGGCTGCTCTGTTAAGTCTTCGTCGTCGGTTAGGAACCTGGGTGTGCTCTTTGATACCAATCTCTCATTTGAAAGTCATGTGTCTAGTATCTGTAGAACTGCATTTTTCCATCATAAAAATATATCTAAATTACACTATATGCTCTTATTGACAAATGCGGAACAATTAGTTCATGCGTTCATGACATCAAGGCTAGATTATTGTAATGCTCTACTGGGTGGTTGCCCTGCACGCTTAATAAACAAACTTCAGCTAGTTTAAAACGCTGCAGCTCGAGTTCTTAACCAGAGCCAGGAAGCATGACCATATTAGCCCGGTTCTATCAACCCTGCATTGGCTGCCTATTAAACATCGTATAAATTTTAAAATATTGCTGATTAATTACAAAGCACTAAATGGTTTAGCTCCGCAGTACTTGAGCGCTCGCTTTATTATAATGGTCCCTTTTAAATATCCTGTTGACTATAAGTAACGTCAACTTACTCTAACCCTAACTGAACCAGTCTACTAATACTCAACTGACACAGAGAGTTAGTAGACATGTAGGTGTAACATCACTTACAGTCAACAGAAGGTGTTAAAGGCACCATCATAATCAGGTTAAACCGAATTTTTAATTGGAGAACTGTGATGTGTGATATAACTACTAATGGATCCTAATAATAATCCATTAATTAAGAACATTTTTAACTGTAGTGCATGATGTCATTGCAGATAAAGTGAGTAAACTCAATTTGTTGCGGGTCAGCAAAAAAAAAAAAAAAAAATGACCGAAATCATAGGAATTGTATGATTTGGAAATACAAGTGTAAAATCAAATGGAAAAGAATAGTCATAAAACCTAAGAACTGGATAAAAATAGAACATGTTACATAATATCCTGTATTTCAATAATGCCCTTTTGATGTCAAGGAATCCCCAGTGCCCTCAGCGTCAGAACAGTGTCTGACAGAGGATCCTTTATTTTCTTTATCATTAAAATCATTCATTCTGTTTATTTGACTGGACTCTTATTTTGGATTTGTAAAATAACTTTTTTAAGCTTTTATGAGTATTGGCATTGGTGGAAATGGCTGAGATTCTCTGGGAAATTCAAATAATATTTGAATTATTTAATATTTTCCATATTTATTTATTTTTGTACAATGTCATCATAAAATGCTAATTTTGTAATTCGTGTCTTCTTACCTGTATTATTTTTTTTCCTCACACAAGGCCTTAGGACTCCTTTATAAGAAAGGAGTCCTATATTATACATTATATTTAGCGGTCCCTGGTCAAATAGTTATGTAACCTATTTCATCTAAATGATATTATGTATTATAATGTACCTATGCATGTTTAAAAGGCTTGAATACCTTTTCAGATGTAACTTTCTTTATGGAAAACTGGCAATTAAACTGTCAAAATTTCACCAGCAAGTGTTATTGGCACAGAAAATTAGTTTCCACTACAATTTTTATACACCACGCTTCTCTGCCTTTATGAAAAAGAAGTGCTTGTATTAGAAGTGAAGTATTGTATTAAATACTTCAAATCTTAAAAATGTATATATTTTTTTTAACTGTGTTTGCAGGTAATATTAATGAAGTTAAAAAGACATTGTGTAAAAATTTGTAAACTTTAGAGAAGTCACTTTTGTCTTTGTAACGGTAGTGTGTTATAAAATATTACATTTTAAAGTGAATATATACTCACCTAAAGGATTATTAGGAACACCTGTTCAATTTCTCATTAATGTAATTATCTAATCAACCCATCACATGGCAGTTGCTTCGATGCATTTAGGGGTGTGGTCCTGGTCAAGACAATCTCCTGAACTCCAAACTGAATGTCAGAATGGGAAAGAAAGGTGATTTAAGCAATTTAGCGTGGCATGGTTGTTGGTGCCAGACGGGCCGGTCTGGGTATTTAACTATCTGCTCAGTTACTGGAATTTTCACTCACAACCATTTCTAGGGTTTACAAAGAATGGTGTGAAAAGGGAAAAACATCTAGTATGCGGCAGTCCTGTGGGCGAAAATGCCTTGTTGATGCTAGAGGTCAGAGGAGAATGGGCCAACTGATTCAAGCTGATAGAAGAGCAACTTTGTAAGGAATAATTGACGACAGGCCGTTAAATTATTAGAAAAATTATACACATCCGAGGTGGTAATGCGGTCATGATGCGAAGCGGAGTGAACACGCGTTTGGGCATGATCAGTCATAAGTATCAAATTAAATTCATACACGTGTCCCGGCTTTATGCAGTTATTAATGCAGTTATTAGAGAGAGGAAGAGAGAGAGATTTTGAACTAATGAGACAGAAAAGCATGTGCGTCAATATTATTATTTATTTATTAATTAACTTTTTATTAATTAATGTTTTAATTAATTTGTTCATTCTTGTTTTCTATAATTGACAGTAGATGACCCAATAAATGAAACACACAAAGACCTTTTAACAAGTAGGCCTATCAATAATTATTTATTTGTTATATCATCTGGAATAATTGCGAAAATCCATGCAGCAGGACTATTCATTTATTTATATAGCCTATTCAGTTTAATTTTCTATGTGGCATAATTGTACGTCTTTTTCACCTGGGCTACATACATTATTTATTCAAATTAAACTGTATGTGCCCATTGATTGTGAAGTTAGACATCGAAAATCGCAGATCAAGTGCATGGGGCTACATGTCTTCACTTGTTATGAATTGTATCCCATTTTCCTTTATTACAGTTGTAAGAAAAAATGAAGTGGTCGTCGAAGATCTCAAAAATGAAGTTTATTTACAGCTTAGCAGTGGAAAGGCACACGAAGCACCTTGGGTTAACCGGCGTCAGAATGAACCCCAAACTCCCTAATCAAGGTGGTTCTTGAATATCCGCCGTCGCTCCCACACTATAGGTGATAACCATGACTCTGTGATACGTTTAAGATTGCAATGAATTGATTCTATGATAAATAAGCTCTTTTAAGTGAAGGAACATTTCAATATAATCTATATTGGAGTGGAAGTTGGATCGGAGCAGACTATAATATCTTACAATCCCCCCTTTGATGCTCTTGGCCACAAGTAGCATCACATCCACTCCCTTTTCCTAAATAACACCTCCCTTTCCTGGTGGGCAGGTGCCCAGTGGCGGTGCCACCCTGGCTTAGGTTGCTCCCCTATGGCCATCAGAGAAGTCTTACCCGTCATCGGAATGACACCTCATGCACACTGGTTACAGCTCTACTTCACTTGAGCAGACTTATCATAGTTTGTGTTAAAGGAACACTCCGACTTTTTGGGATTTTAGCCTATTCACCTTACCCCCCAGAGTTAGATAAGTCCATACATACCTTTTTCATCTCCGTGCGTGCTATAAGTCTGTTTGACGCACCCACCGCTAGCCTAGCTTAGCACAAAGACTGGATGTGAATGGTTGCAGCTTTCATACTAATCCAAATGAGTGACAAAATAACGCAAACGTTTTCCTATTTACATGTTGTGGTTTGTATAGTCACAGAGTGTGCAAATATCAAGGCCATATGAGACACAGACATCTTTTGACCGTATAAATACTATATTTTCTGAAGGCGAAGCACTACTTGGGCAGAGTGATAACCATCACCTGAGACGAACCGTGATGAGGAGCAGAGTGTTCGCTCAGTGTTGGAGTAAAGAGTCAGCTAACGTTAGATAGAAAAGCATAGTTTATCATGGGTGTTTGCTTTATTGTATGAGCTGTGACAATAAACAGGGGAGACCAGGTAATACAGTACCATGTTTCATTGATTTCCAACCAAAAACGCACCCAGATTTATAAATATCACATGAATAAATAATTATTATTACAGGAATCAATATATTTTAAATGCAATTTATTAGCTGAACCAAATGTATTCAAAAGTAGCCTATATAATATACAGTATAATTGCATTACTATAGGATAGAATAAGGGGAAAGTAATAGCACAAATTGTTTTTGCACAATGAACTCACAGTCTATCG